ACACCCTATGCACATACACACCGAGGCAGGGAGAGAGATTAAAAAAGACAAAATTAAACGCAAGAAAGCAAGAGGTGTACACCAATATAAATGGGAAGACAGAGATTAAAGAACAGCCTATGGGAGCATGTACTATCAAAGCAAAAAATAGAGTGCGTTGGGCGGTCATCTGAAGCCAACTTTCTCTGTGCAGAGCGCACTTGACTGATATGAAGTGTTGTGATATCGATAAAAAAAATTAATAAAACATGGCATGCCATATTTTATGTGACGTTGCTGCATTCTAACTAGGTATTATGTTAATCTCTTTAGAATGCAGCAACATTAAATACCATCACAATTACATTTGAGAAGATAAGCTATATCAGCACGACGATGACCACTAAAGATATGGATCGACAACATTTAAGACACTTTTTGACACGACAATAAACAATGTCAGTAGCCAGTGCACAATGGATTGCAAATTGTTCCTCCCAGCGGAGCTTAACGGCAGAGGTGGTTTATAATAATCATGATGATGATGACACGACACATTTGTCTGGCCAACCTGGCACATGCAGGTCACATGACCAACCAAGCCATTGACATTACTGTAATGGCTACGGCTACGTGGGAAAGGTTTCAGGATTTTGCTTATTTCTTGTTTTTGTAGCGAGTTAAGTCGCTATTGAGCTTTTATATTTTTTTCCAGTGATATATCAAGGTAGGATTTAAATTGTGGACTGTGTACTCCAGCGAGTCAAGGAAAACTTTAAGGAGGTTCATGTATGTTTATATTCCACTGGCTCTTGCTGAGTCAACTCCACCAAGACTCACTGGGCATAATTCCTAGTCCTACTGTTTACATACTGTGAAAAAACAAAGTAAAAATTACAATTTTCTAAATAATTTAGAGTAGTAAGTAAGTACAGATACTTTATTTAAGTTTGTTTGTGTTACTTATTCACGTATATCGTGTTCATCGATGTAATTTTAATTATTAAGTTTAACACGTCTAAAGTAAACGAAATATAATTATATATATATAGTTATAGATATCAGAATATCATATTATTTAACTTAACACACTTTCTTTGACTTTCTGAGTTTCGAGTACGGCTCGTCTTGAAATATTTATCGAGTCTAAAGAGTAGGCAGAAAATAAAATGATTCTAAACAGGTTCCTATATCTGAGTTACTGACATGAATTTGACTTTCTTTCATTCATCTTACATGCGCCCAATTTGATTGTGTGAATTAGTGATTTAACCCTTTTAGCACGGGAAGTTTTTCAGAGGTCTAGCCAAAAACACGGAGCATTTTTTCAGTGAATTTGGTTATTACTTTCTTTAATTTTTTTAACAGATTTCTGTTATTCTGACCCCCATGAAATAATATATCTATTTGAAGGATATAGATTGAAGTTCGTGATTTTCACAATATCGTTAAAATTAATTGATGTATATGCAAATTATCTCATTTGCATATCTAAAAATAAAAAATATGAATTTGAATTTTCAACTTCAATGCTTGAAACATAAAACTAAAAACAAAAATTTTTTTTATTTGAAATCTTTTTATTGATTTTTGGCCTTTTTACAAATGTTGTAAGCAATTCAATAGTCAAAAACAGGTATATATATGTGAAACAGCAATAATATCTTTAGGTGACATGTGTTTTTCACCATCAGTCAGCACTAGAAATGGATGTGCCGGAGTGTCAACACCTTCGGGTAGATGTACCCAGAGCCATGGTTGGGCTATGATCTGAACACAACAGCGTCCCCATCTGATTCCCACTATTACTACTAACACTAAATCCTGCATCAGTATCAACAGAATTAGTGTCATCACTTGATTCAAATGTTTTATCAACATCAAGTTTAGGGGCAGAAACATACGAGTCAGACATACTTTTAGCGGTTCAGGTCACTATCTAAAAAATTCAACAAAAATTTTCACTTCAATACCAAACACTCAAAAGTCGCCATGTGTAAAGCTGATACAACAGTTAATATAAATGAATCACTTTCAGTGTTTCAAAGTAGGAGATTTCTTAGCGGTTCGAGGCGAAACACGATCGGGCCGATCATCGGCCGTTCCGTGTTTTTGGCCAGACATCCGCCGGCCGATAATCGGCCCGTCCGTGCTAAGAGGGTTAAGATGTGCCAAAGCTATTATTGTCTTTGGTGTATTGTATATTTCTTGTTATACTATTTATCACACACATACACTCACATGTGCAGTAACTTCACATAGCATGATGCTAGGTTTGAATCCCAATGGAGGCAAATTTTAAAATTTGATCTGCATGCCCATGCAAAAGACAGCCTACAAAACGGATATCAAGAAATTATTGGAATGGAATTGTTCTGAGCTGCTAAAGTCAAACTACTGACTACTCAAACTTTAATTCAAAGGTGGGCAGTATAATATTGACAGTATGCTGAGTCCCAGGCATCATATGTGCATTATGATATGCTTCAGCTTCATATTGTCAGCCGTGGGGACAGGATCATTTAATATATAGTACTTCCCCCCCCCCCACCCACCTTTCCATGTATGATAATTCTGACTTTCTCCAGCTGCCTAGTCTAAATGTTGCAGAGAGAAGATGTAACTTGTAAGGATGTTATGTGTATTTAGTGTGGTTAAATTAATTGTTTCTTTACAACACATGCACTCATACACATGTCTGTTCAGGGACTTTACATTTCTCACAGATTTATACTCAATATTTGAATGAGGCAATAACATGTCATCTTGTATCATATGTTATGTATGTTGCAAATAATTTGTATTCCAATTTAACCAGCCCGAGCCTAAATGGACGACCAGAAAAGCAGCAGCAGCACAGATAAGGAAACCAACAGTCCTGTTGAGTTAGAACAACCCTCTGTGTTCGCAAACCACACCCTAGAGAACACTTTGCTTGATTGTAGTCATGGTGATGAAAATAACGGCAATGAAGCTGCCACACTGAGCCCAGCTGGGGATAAAGTTCACAGAGTTGTAGATGTTTCGGGCACAGGTGAGTGCCAGGTAAACCTCACAGATGGCCTGGCATCTAATGTTCCTGCGTTATCAAACTTGGACAGCAGCAACTCGGAAAGGGATGTCATTTTGGAATCAAACAAGAATCAATCATCCGCCTTGACTAACATCTTTAAGGAAAATCTGATTAACGATGATCTACTTCCGGTTGATGAACCAGCACCTGGGTTATGTGAAACCCCAAGGGGTGAAGAGATGCAGGTTGATGCTTCAAGCGGCGATAATACAGAGGAAAAGGCTGCCTTACTTGATAATCAAAAAAGGTATAAAACACCCTCTTGTGGTGATGAAGTTGTATCTTTACATTTAGATGATGCCACCGAAAACATTGGTACTGACGATAAGCAACATGACCTTGAGATTCTTGATCATACTGACAAGGAAGAAAATAGCAAGGTTGTTACTAGAGAATTGTGCAGTTCAGGTCATGCGGTTGCCTTAGAGAATGAGAAAACTGATGATGCTGTGAGCAGCACGGAGAACATAATTCTGCAAAAGTCACACACCCTTCAGCCTGAAAAGCCCCTAATCCCAAGTGCAGAAGACAAATTTGGATACAATGAATCAGAACAATCGGTGTCCATTTCCTCTGCCGATTTAAACCTGGCACAAAGCAGGGATGTCAAAGACACCGTTTCTGACAATATCAAAAGTAATCATGTGACTGAAAGTTTTGGCAGCAACCGGTCAGAAAATGTATTGTCTGAGCTAGTTACTGATGGAGTTCCTGAAGAAGTAGAGACAAAACTAGTGGAGAAGAAGCAGGTTACATCAAACTTTGTTGATCATGTCGAAGAATTGGACTACGAGGAGAATGACGATGATGGCTCTGGGAGACTGGAGAAGTTGAAGGACAATCAGGAAAATAAGCAGGTAATTGTTATCTCCATTTGTGTGTGTGTGTGTATGAGAGAGTGTGCATGTGTGTGTAAAGAACAGAAACATAACAAAATCCTGCTCCTCTTCTGTCAAATGTGGGGCCGTCATCTTGAAACTGTCATTATAATGTCACTGGTTTTGTCTGATATCACATGCTTGTCACCCTTAACAACAGTAGTGACAGGTTGCAAAACAGTGGCAAGGTTATTGTAATTTTTGTTACACTTTTAAGGTTTCATTTGAAGTTTCCTTGTAATTAGATCACCCTATGGTGGATACACTAGCTGGGCATGTTGGCAGATAGCAGACCATGTGGTGATTGCCAGGTATTTTGTGTTGGCTGTGATATAAGCCAGACTTCTCATGGATGAGTATACTGCCTCCTTGGGTGGGTTCCCACCTCTCCCTAAGCATGTCCTAAAATTCGACTTATTATGGTTTCACTGAGGTCGGGTGCGTGGACTGAAAACACAGATATGACAGCCCATCTGTAAACCACAACACAGCATGCCACAAGTCTGTTTAAGGGCAAACCAAGTAGAAGACAATTGAAGCCAGATAGCACTAACTAACCTCCTACAGCAGTGATATTTACATTCTAGGTCTACTAACCTCCTGCAGCAGTAATATTTACATTCTAGGTCTACTAACCTCCTACAACAGTGATATTTACATTCTAGGTCTACTAACCTCCTGCAGCAGTGATATTTACATTCTAGGTCTACTAACCTCCTACAACAGTGATATTTACATTCTAGGTCTACTAACCTCCTGCAGCAGTGATATTTACATTCTAGGTCTACTAACCTCCTACAACAGTGATATTTACATTCTAGGTCTACTAACCTCCTGCAGCAGTGATATTTACATTCTAGGTCTACTAACCTCCTGCAGCAGTGATATTTAAATTCTAGGTCTACTAACCTCCTACAGCAGTGATATTTAAATTCTAGGTCTACTAACCTCCTGCAGCAGTGATATTTACATTCTAGGTCTACTAACCTCCTACAGCAGTGATATTTAAATTCTAGGTCTACTAACCTCCTGCAGCAGTGATATTTACATTCTAGGTCTACTAACCTCCTGCAGCAGTGATATTTACATTCTAGGTCTACTAACCTCCTGCAGCAGTGATATTTAAATTCTAGGTCTACTAACCTCCTGCAGCAGTGATATTTACATTCTAGGTCTACTAACCTCCTACAGCAGTGATATTTACATTCTAGGTCTACTAACCTCCTGCAGCAGTAATATTTACATTCTAGGTCTACTAACCTCCTACAGCAGTGATATTTACATTCTAGGTCTACTAACCTCCTGCAGCAGTAATATTTACATTCTAGGTCTACTAACCTCCTGCAGCAGTAATATTTACATTCTAGGTCTACTAACCTCCTGCATTTATATTATCTCGGCACAGACTTTGTGCCCCTTAAAAGGTATGTTTGTAAACGTATTGTTTCCACTAGATTTATTACACTTACTTTATTTAGTGCCGGCACCATGTCGACATCATCCTTTAAGTGCCGGCACCATGTTGTCCACATCATCCTTTAAGTGCCGGCACCATGTTGTCCACATCATCCTTTAAGTGCCGGCACGATGTTGTCCACATCATCCTTTAGGTGCCGGCACGATGTTGTCCACATCATCCTTTAAGTGCCGGCACCATGTTGTCCACATCATCCTTTAAGTGCCGGCACCATGTTGTCCACATCATCCTTTAAGTGCCGGCACCATGTTGTCCACATCATCCTTTAAGTGCCGGCACCATGTTGTCCACATCATCCTTTAAGTGCCGGCACCATGTTGTCCACATCATCCTTTAAGTGCCGGCACCATGTTGTCCACATCATCCTTTAAGTGCCGGCACCATGTTGTCCACATCATCCTTTAAGTGCCGGCACCATGTTGTCCACATCATCCTTAAAGTGCCGGCACGATGTTGTCCACGTCATCATTCAAGTGCCGAATGGTCTGTATATATATATATAGGTCTAGCACCATATGTCTGAAGGTGTTGAAAAGGGCCCTATTTTACTGTTTAGGAACATAGATAGATATATTTAGAGCATATCCCAGCAATTGTAACTGAGATTTAGATCTGCATATGTATCATTAGTATATGCTGACCAATGTATGAAAGGGGTGAGGCCAGAAGGGCAGCATGTCAGATGCACCTGCAGGGCCCAGTGCTGAGCCTTTCAACATAGAAGTCTGTTTATTCACATTAGTATTGATATTGATAGAGGTCCATTTATGTCTGGTTTTCCTTGGTCGTGACTAGCAGGGGCTGTTTCTGTTTTATTTCAGGGTGACCAATCAGACAAGGACGAAGGCGAGCTGACCGTAAGTGTAACATGTTTAGTTCTTTGTGGTCGGCTAAATTATGTCAATCTGTAGAGTGGCTTGGGGGGGGGCAGGTGAGTGGTGTGTGATGGGTAGGGATTCAGGGCAATAACTAGGGTGTTTTGATGTGTGCATAGTTCCATGAAATATTAAAAAGGGTTGTCTTGGGAGTGTGTAATACGGTTTGTATCTACTAGTGTGTAGTACAGTTTGTATCTACTAGTGTGTAGTACAGTTTGTATCTACTACTGTGTAGTACAGTTTGTGTCTACTACTGTGTAGTACAGTTTGTACCGACTAGTGTGTAGTACAGTTTGTATCTACTAGTGTGTAGTACAGTTTGTATCTACTACTGTGTGGTACAGTTTGTATAACATCCTCTAGTGAACTACAGATGAGTAGAAGTGGAGAGCGGCCTATACTATGATATGATGTATAGATTATAGAGCTAGATAGGTTCAGAGCTGAGCCTTTGAGAAGTAACACAATACATGCAATGACAACAGTGGCCCTGACATTCCATGCTCTAATTGTAGAAGACATTTTTAATACAGGAGATTTTGTTAGTTACACTCGGTCCTCGTCGTCATGGGCTGTAACTCACATAGCTTTATAGACCAGCTCAATGGGTGATGTGATCATCCTGACTCAGGCCACCTTTACTCCCAAGACATTACCTGGTACCCATTTTTTGCTGTGTCTGCCTGGAAACCAATGTCTTTTTTTTTTTGTTTGTTCAGTTTTGAACTCACAACCTTTGGATCTACAGACAAACATTTGGCTGCTACAATACAGCGGCGCCCCTGTTTTCTGTTTACTTTAAATATGACTCCATATCTAGGTGACTACCCATAAGATAGGCAAGGGATGATCAACGAAAAAATGTTTTTTTTTTTTTTTATATATACAGGATGATGATTGCGAGGAGGGAGAGATCAAGGAACCAGGGAGCAGGAAGATGTTTGTCAAACCCTTGTGCCGGTTTTTCCAGAGGGGTAGCTGCAGCTGGGGTCCTGGCTGTCGGTTTCTGCATCCTGGGGTCAACGACAAAGGTGAGCATTCCTTCTCTGCCTTGTAGTGGCGGTGGTTCACAATAGGGCGGCTGTTGGCTGCCTTATTTTCCCTGAGTATAGGGTACACTTAGTTTCCAAAAGTATAGGGTGTTCTTCTGTGTTCATCCACAGAAATAGATGTGTCTGACATCCGACTTCTGCAGGCATTTATTGACCAGGTTAGCCTTCCTGGATAAGGTAGTCTAAAAACAGTACATCTTATACAGTGGTAGTGCATCCTTATGTAATCATATTTGTTGTCTCAAAATTTCCAGCCCCAGAATCAAGGTGCTTATTAAACTTGTTGTCGTCTGACACTGGGAAAATATAGTAGTTTGAAATAACTATTTATTAGAATGCAAGTGTTAAATACTGAAGTATGTTATCCATATTAATCATTGTAGTATTTAGACTCAATAACAGCAGAATGTGTGGGGAGGTAAGTGGGGGTTGGTCAGTAGGACAGTGCACAGAGGCTATTGTTAATGCTGTGTGTGAGGGTTGGTCAGTGCACAGAGGCTATTGTTAATGCTGTGTGTGAGGGTTGGTCAGTAGGACAATGCACAGAGGCTATTGTTAATGCTGTGTGTGAGGGTTGGTCAGTAGGACAATGCACAGAGGCTATTGTTAATGCTGTGTGTGAGGGTTGGTCAGTAGGACAATGCACAGAGGCTATTGTTAATACCATGAGTGAAAATTCAAAAGCAAGATAAACTCTTGACCTAGATATAATGTAGCCAAGGACATGAGCTCCCAGAAATGTAGCCAAGGACATGAGCTCCCAGAAATGTAGCCAAGGACATGAGCGCTCAGAAATGTAGACAGGGACATGAGCTCCCAGAAATGTAGACAGGGACATGAGCCCTCAGAAATGTAGACAAGGACATGAGCCCTCAGAAATGTAGACAAGGACATGAGCTCCCAGAAATGTAGACAAGGACATGAGCTCCCAGAAATGTAGCCAAGGACATGAGCTCCCAGAAATGTAGCCAAGGGCATGAGCTCCCAGAAATGTAGCCAAGGGCATGAGCTCCCAGAAATGTAGCCAAGGGCATGAGCTCCCAGAAATGTAGCCAAGGGCATGAGCTCCCAGAAATGTAGTCAAGGACATGAGCTCCCAGAAATGTAGTCAAGGACATGAGCCCTCAGAAATGTAGCCAAGGACATGAGCTCCCAGAAATGTAGCCAAGGGCATGAGCTCCCAGAAATGTAGCCAAGGGCATGAGCTCCCAGAAATGTAGCCAAGGGCATGAGCTCCCAGAAATGTAGCCAAGGACATGAGCTCTCAGAAATGTAGCCAAGGACATGAGCTCCCAGAAATGTAGCCAAGGACATGAGCTCCCAGAAATGTAGCCAAGGACATGAGCTCCCAGAAATGTAGCCAAGGACATGAGCTCCCAGAAATGTAGCCAAGGACATGAGCTCTCAGAAATGTAGCCAAGGACATGAGCGCTCAGAAATGTAGACAAGGACATGAGCTCCCAGAAATGTAGCCAAGGACATGAGCTCCCAGAAATGTAGACAAGGACATGAGCTCCCAGAAATGTAGACAAGGACATGAGCTCCCAGAAGAGAGAAATACTTGGGTGGCTTGGCCATATGGGTTGTGTCAGACCAGAACAATTGCCTGGTCTATGATTCTGGTAATCATTTGAGATGGTGAAACGTGAAAGCCTTTGCTTACCAGCATGGTACATAATGACGATGACTGCTTTGTTATAAATAACTTTTTTGTGTGTTGTATTATTTTCAGGAAACTATCAGTTGATAGAGATGCCTGGGTGCGCCCCAGCAGGAATCAGGTCACGATTAGGTGTGCCTGCCATGTGGCCTGAGGTTCGTATCTTATTGGGGTCCATTGATGTCTGACATGAGCATTCATGTCTCTTCACAGCGCACGTTGTGCTGTTCTGTTTATTCCTTGTCTTTGTATTCTGTGCTACTTGCATCCTGCATTCTTTCTCTCTATCATCTCCACTCCCCATCAGTCTTCGTAATTATTATAATTACTGTGCTTAGAATTATTTTTGTTTAGAAGTGTTCAGCGCATTCTGTTTGTAATTAAGACTTAGATATTCACTGACAATGTTTGTTATTGTTAACTGTGCAATATTGTACTTTATGCTGTATTTACCCGGATGTCCCAGTCAATTATAGAATTAACCCTTTTTCTTCGAGTTAAACAAGTTTAAACTCCAGCGGAAAGTTCTGGTTGTTCTTCCACATTGTCTTTGTTCCAAAATTTCAGCTTTGCAAGCACCTCCATTTTATAGATCTGTCTTATTTGTATTTAGACCTTGATCCCTTACGTCTCTGGCAGATGCACTCCGTCTTTCACAACACGCTCCCCTGCCCTACAAAATGGAGCCCTGGAACCCAGATGGGGAGTGATGTAAACCCAGTACTGTCAGATTGGCAAGCAGGTCTCTAGCCACTGCACTCATGCAGCTTCTGGCACGAGTCAGTGTTGATGTAATTGGGACTGAGAATTCTTGTTGGGTTTTTAGAGTTTGGGGGAAACAGAACATAGTAGCAGCGGACGATCGCGGAACACATATTGGTGCATAAGCCATTTGCAGGACATCCGGAGCCTCTCTTGGCAGTGGTGAAACATCGCAAACTATCATGGTGAGACATGATTCGATTGCAAAACTGTGCTTCAAGGAACATTGGAGGGCAGTCGAAGAAGAGGAGGGCAGAAAAAAACCTGAAATAACAACTCAAGAAATAGACAGGACTAAGTTGTAATACACTTATTCATCAACAGAAAACAGAAAGATTACAGGTTTAATCTGCTTGTGCTTACATTGATACACCTCCACGATCCTGTCGAGTCAAGGGTTATGTTATGTATAAGCCATTTGCACACATGAAACATGTCCACAGACAGCAGAACACTCTAAGGCAAACCTTTTGGTCAGAAAGAACAGCAGTGGAAAGTAAACTTTACGGACCACTTTAAAAACTAAACAGACAGTAAAATCTGTGCAAGAGATTTTTATTAAAAAAAAGCCAAAATAGAAAATGTTTTTCATGCGAATAAAAAAATTGCACACGGATGACCCTTAGATAGCTTTCTTACCCCACATTTTCATTTTCTCTGTCTCCTCTGAGGTGACTGTAGGAAGAGAAGTTGATGCTAGTGCATGTAGAAGCCACAGATCTAGTGTTGTGATGTCATTATATCTCTGCATCAGTTCCTATTTGATCCCCTCATGTTGTTCGGGTTACACTTGGGGGTTTGTGGATCATGTCCTGCCATTCCACTTGTTTATCTCTGTTTGATTGATCTCTTGTCTGTTTAATTGATCTCGTGTCTGTCTGAATGATCTCTTGTCTGGTTAACTGATCTCTGTCTGTTTGATTGATCTCTTGTCTGTCTGACTGATCTCTTGTCTGGTTAACTGATCTCTTGTCTGTCTGACTGATCTCTTGTCTGGTTAACTGATCTCTTGTCTGGTTAACTGATCTCTGTTTGATTGATCTCTTGTCTGTTTGACTGATCTCTTGTCTGTTTGACTGATCTCTTGTCTGTTTGATTGATCTCTTGTCTGTTTGATTGATCTCTTGTCTGTTTGATTGATCTCTTGTCTGTTTGATTGATCTCTTGTCTGTTTGATTGATCTCTTGTCTGGTTAACTGATCTCTTGTCTGGTTAACTGATCTCTTGTCTGGTTAACTGATCTCTTGTCTGTTTGACTGATCTCTTGTCTGTTTGATTGATCTCTTGTCTGTTTGATTGATCTCTTGTCTGTTTGATTGATCTCTTGTCCGTCTGATTGATCTCTTGACTGTTTGATTATTGACTTTGCAGCAACCTGAGGAGGAAGTACAGTTGCCACCACCTCCAGTTCCTGACATTCCACTGGTGGAGACAGCCTGGGAGAGAGGATTGAGGTTGGCCAAAGAGGTAAGGACTGGATAGATATATTGATTGCAGAGGACTATGGCCATACAGAATGGAGATAATTGTTTGGTTCAAATCCTGCTGAGTAACAAGCAGCATCTACATGGACCATGCTGCACACAAATTATGGGGAATAATGCCCAAGTAAACTCAGAAAGTAGAGTATCCTTGTTCACACCGTTAGGAAAGACAAGTTTGACAGAGAGCCTGAAAATGGTCCCAATGTCAGCACAGTAATTTATGTCAATGGAGATGGCTTGGACATGTTAGCAGAATGTCTCGTGATATTTTGGCAGGCACCGATCCCCGGTGAATGGGGTTAGAGATCGGACCCTGCCAGCAGGTGGCCAGGGACCTGGGCTACCCAGAAAGGTCATGGTTGTAGAGAGAGAGATAGAAAATGGAGATGTGGATGACCTAATGCAATCTGAAGTAAGAATGCCAGTAGAAGGAATGTAAAAGGATATGGAATACCATATCAACCAGGCAAACCTGTTGTAAAGTAGCTGCTACATAATGATGATGTTGAATCCAGGGTTTCCGTTTTTCAGATGTCTAGAGGTCATTGCTGGAGCTACAAGATTTGTTCTTTGTGTGATGCTGTCTGTAAGCAGCCCAGCCACTCTGAGGGAGTGTGAGTTAGATGAGGTTAAACATGATAGAGTGAAATCATCCCTTGTACTTGACCTTTTTTTTTTTTAATAAGCTTTTATTAAGTGTGGTTTTGTTTGCTCGTCTGGTACAGTTTTTGTGGGTTTTTTTTAAGTGATCCTGTGTCAGAAGTGTTGGAAAGCTGTATAGTTACCTCTTGAAACATTTGTTCACCGGGTATATCAGTTATTAGTGTGTTACTGGTCTGCTTTATTATTGTGTCGCCAGAGAAAGAAAGCTGCAGAAAGAAAGGAAAAGGAGGTAGATTTTGAAGAAAAACGGTTGAATTTATCCGTGGATAAAGAGTGGGAGCTGAATAAAGAAAACGAACATCAGCCTGTAGTCGCCCCGAAGGATCCTTATTATGACCTGCCTGAGTAAGTATCATCATCATCATCGTGTGCCAAGCCATCACATGTAAGCCGCCATGGTTGACCATATCACTTGAGTCTTGTGTTCTTTTCCATCTCTGCCAGATCGTCATCTGTGTGTTTTATCAGTTTTGCTAATCTTTGCTCTTTTCCTGTCCAGTGTGCCAGTTGTCAGTCAGTTGGTATTTTTCATGTATCAACAGTTTTACTTATATTACCACAGTTGACTTCTGCACACTGGGCACTCATATGAGTGCTCAGTCCTCTTTTGCAGCAGCCATGGCTGGGTTTTCTTTTCAGGCTGTTTGTGTGTCTCGTGTATCTATCAGTTTGTGAGTCCAGTTTTTTGTTGTTGCTCCTTAGCATTCACTAGCTGTAATCTCTGGTGGAAAATTCTGGTTGTTCATGCCCATATAGGCATTGGTCTTGTGAGCATGTTTCTCATAAATCACATCGCTACTTGCATGTTTGAGTGGTTTTGGACACTTGCTTTCTGCAGTGGGAGCCGGGATTTGACCCCAAGAGAAGTGTTAATCTGGTCTTAGGATATTTTTTTGTGGGTCTCAGAATTATGATTGTTTATTCTCCCTTAAAAAGGCAGTTTTATCTTTTTTATTGTGGCTCACAGCTAGGCTGCAGTATCTGTACCTTTTGGCCCAACACGTTCGGTTTTAGTCAACCCCTTCTTAATCCATTTTGTGGCATGATTGTTTGCCAGTGGCTCAGTTCTTTTGCCCCTAAAATGGAACCAGGGAAGCTACGCTGGGCTGGAAGGTTGTCTTTTTTTAAAGACATTGAGAATATACTATTACACTGCACCTTCTTCTTCAGAAATAACAGTTTGCTTGTGTTTGTTCCAATATGGATCATAGCGCAGGATGGTGCGCTTGAGGTCTGCATTTTGTTGTGCACCACAAGGTGGAGGTTGTAGAGACTACAGAAGACTAGGTTTTCTCTGCATTTTATCGATGACTGCTGGTTTTGTTTTGTAGGTTAGTCTGCTCTTTTTTGTTTGTTTTTGATTATCTTGGGGATTTTTGACTTCATTATTGTATTGCTAGGTACGAGGTGGATGAGTACTACAAAGTTCCCAGAGAACCATGGCCACCTGGCCAGTACCAGAACAGCCAAGTCCGGTACAACCAGGACAGAACTTATGCCGCCCCATATCAGGTGAGTGTCTGCTTGGTCCAGCCCATGTCAGGTGTGTGTCTGCTTGGTCCAGCCCATGTCAGGTGTGTGTCTGCTTGGTTTGCCCCATGTCAGGTGTGTGTCTGCTTGGTTTGCCCCATGTCAGGTGTGTGTCTGCTTGGTTTGCCCCATGTCAGGTGTGTGTCTGCTTGGTTTGCCCCATGTCAGGTTTGTGTCTGCTTGGTTTGCCCCATGTCAGGTGTGTGTCTGCTTGGTTTGCCCCATGTCAGGTGTGTGTCTGCTTGGTCCAGCCCATGTCAGGTGTGTCTCTGCTTGGTTTGCCCCATGTCAGGTGTGTGTCTGCTTGGTCCAGCCCATGTCAGGTGTGTGTCTGCTTGGTCCAGCCCATGTCAGGTGTGTGTCTGCTTGGTTTGCCCCATGTCAGGTGTGTGTCTGCTTGGTCCAGCCCATGTCAGGTGTGTGTCTGCTTGGTCCAGCCCATGTCAGGTGTGTGTCTGCTTGGTTTGCCCCATGTCAGGTGTGTGTCTGCTTGGTTTGCCCCATGTCAGGTGTGTGTCTGCTTGGTTTGCCCCATGTCAGGTGTGTGTCTGCTTGGTTTGCCCCATGTCAGGTGTGTGTCTGCTTGGTTTGCCCCATGTCAGGTGTGTGTCTGCTTGGTTTGCCCCATGTCAGGTGTGTGTCTGCTTGGTTTGCCCCATGTCAGGTGTGTGTCTGCTTGGTCCAGCCCATGTCAGGTGTGTGTTTTTTTTTTTTTGTCTGCTTGTGAACTTTATGAAAAGTATGTACATTGCTGTTTGTCCTCCTTCCAGGACAAGCCCCCTATAGCAACGTCTGCCCGGTTTGATCACTTGTACGGTCCTCCTGAAGATAAGTAAGTTGTGAATTCGTATCTTATGCTGTTAATTGTGTTCGATTATCAAAATTATGTATCATCCATTCCTCTTAGGTTGATCCATGCTGTTTTTTTTTTTTTAAATGGTGGTTGATATTGCAGTTTTATGTTAAATCATCATGTTTTCTAGTGCCTCATTTCTAAATCTTCAGGTGTGGCAAATCTACGTTTGACCCTAGTGTCTTTATTCCACACAAGTCTGTCATCTCACTGTTATGCAGAATGAGTGGTTTCGTTGAGAGATTTCACAACACTTCTGTTGTGTGTCTACTTGGTCTATTGATGGACCTTCCACAAGAGTCAAAACCAGCCAAAGTGTCTACGTTTTTATTCCTTTTATACCTGTATGATCCAAGACAAGAATAGTTTATTGTAAATTTTGTAGATAAACTTTTTTATTTGTTTCAGGTTAGTTGCTTATCCTTTGCAGAACATTGCAGAGCCAACCCAGCATGTTTTCTTTGTGTGGCTGTTCCTAAATTTAGAAGGAAGTTTACTATTTAGCCTTTGCATTCTGAATGGTCTGCATTCCACTTTCAAAATCACTATACAATGGTCTGCTGCCAGATTTCCCGCAGCTAGAATCAAACCAGGTTCTTGGGGATTATAAAGGGCATTGACAACCCCTAAGCCACAGACACCAACCTTTAAGTTATAATAGACTTTTGGCTGTAATTAACAAATAACAGCAGTACCTAGATTATAGTTAACTGTATCACCCCGAAAAGCTGCAAAACTATCACTTGTCTGGCTGGACTAGCGTGATGTATTCTCAAACCTGTCACTTGTCTGGCTGGACTAGCGTGATGTATTCTCAAACCTGTCACTTGTCTGGCTGGACTAGCGTGATGTATTCTCAAACCTGTCACTTGTCTGGCTGGACTAGTGTGATGTATTCTCAAACCTGTCACTTGTCTGGCTGGACTAGTGTGATGTATTCTCAAACCTGTCACTTGTCTGGCTGGACTAGTGTGATGTATTCTCAAAACTGTCACTTGTCTGGCTGGACTAGCGTGATGTATTCTCAAACCGCAGAGTTGATGCTGTTGGCTAAATGTGCACCTATTGGCTGAGTGTGCACCTATTGGCTGAGTGTGCACCTATTGGCTGAGTGTGCACCTATTGGCTGAGTGTGCACCTATTGGCTGAGTGTGCACCTATTGGCTGAGTGTGCAACTTCGCAAACATTTAGGAAACAGGATATGTATATATTAGCTAAAAATAATATTTAGGGGGTTTTCCTGTAAATCAGATTGCTTTTATAAAGTTAACCTCAAATGTCCTTCCTAGGAGGTCATGGTTTGAGAAGATATCTATTCTTTTTAGGAAGAATATATTCTATTGATATGCTAATGCTTATTGATAACTTCCTTTGTCCATCTGTATATTTTCAAAGAGGATTTTTAAAAGGTAAAATACATTTATTTATTAGTGACCTATTGATTATTGGTGTGTTGCAGTTGTAATTTGTCTAAAGATTTGTGTTTGTGCTTCTTACTGTGTGATAATTTGAAGTCTTACCTGGCTTTAGATTTGACAGAGCCAGGCTTGGCCTACAAGAACCAATCAGAGTAGAGGCGACATCATTTGCCCCTAGTTACACACCTTCGTTGAAGCGGCCAGATGAATGGACAGATCCCTGGATGAGGTAGGATGGTAGGCAGTAAATATAAATAATGACTGTGTTGATGAGCTTGATTGTTGCTGTTTCCTCCTCTTTCTTAAATCTTCCAGCTGCGACTCGCTGCAGCCCACGGTCGGGGTAAATGGAGGAATGTCGCTGTAGCTACAGAGTTACATGCGAACGGCGACACAGGCGGACTATTCTTATCAGCTGTCCGTACTGGTGGCAGAACATTCATGGTTTATAACTATGTGCAATGATGCTGGTTCACATCTCCCGACTTTACCTTTTCTCTTTAACCCGGTCGCCTCGAGATGGTCAAATCTAATCCCCTCCGGTTGTGACACAGTACTCCGCCGCTCCGGGGCGGCTAAATTTAGTTGCTTCCGGTTGTGACACAGTACTCTGCCGCTCCTAGACGGCTAAATCTAGTTGCTTCCGGTTGTGACACAGTACTCCGCCGCTCCGAGACGGCTAAATCTAGTTGCTTCCGGTTGTGAAACAGTAATGTAAATGCTGAAATATGGCCATGTCCGCAGTGACGTGTTTCTTAAAAAAATGTAAAGTGTTCTTGCACTGCATCCGCCTGCATAGTGTTTAATAGATCAGGATATGAATATACTAAATGCAAATAGCATTTAGGCTGTTTCCTTAGGAGTGAAATGGCTTTTTGAAAGCCGAGGTCATGTTTAAATTGTCCTGTATGCCCAAGTGGTAGATGTGCAGCACGAGTCACCTGAAATATTTTGTTTTTCTATGCCATGGATAAATACATTCTGGAAATAAAGTATACTATGCCCTTCAACATTCGCTAAAATCAAAGTCTCTGTCTCGCAACACCAAGATCAAAATATATATAAAATGTTGATAGGACCAGTTGTTTTAATATGGCCCTGAAATGTGAAGCACAACTAAAAAAAAAGATGAAGCCTTGTTAAAATTTTTGAAAAAAGTCTTACAGCAAATTTTTGGACCCATCAAAGATGCAAATAGTGGGAAATGGAGAGTGAGAAGAAACAACAAAATTTATAATGTTTAAATCACTAGCATTATGAGGGCATATTGAGAGCATGTCAGATGACAGAAATAAAAACTATACACAGGGGAACTGAATTCTCGTGAACCATGAAGAAAACAGAGAAATTATTTCCAGACAGGCACAGATATTTGGTGTTACCAACTGGAAAGAGAAGGCCAACCAGAGAGATGAATTTCTTCTTCTTCTGCCTTTCTATCCCCCAATGGAGCATAGGCCCTCAACCAACTCACGCCAAGTCGTTCTATCCTTCGCCATTGCATGGAGCTCTCCCCATGTCCTCCCAATCTTTCTAACCTCGTTCTCCAGCTCTCTTCTCCATGTGTTTTTTGGCCTTCCTTTATTCCTATGCCCTGTGGGTTCCAATACAAAGACATTCTAGTTATGCTGTTCTCCTGTTTTCTCAGTGTGTGCCCTATCCAACGCCAGCGTTTTTTCCTCACTTCCTGATCCACTGGAGCCTGTTTAGTTCTCTCCCAAAGTTCTACATTAGTTATTCTATCATACCATTTTATTCCCTCTATTCTGTGCAGGCACCAGTTAATGAATGTCTGTAATTTATTAGTAATTGCCTTGGTTGTTCTCCATGTTTCCGCCCCATACAATAGTACTGATTTGACATTAGAATTAAAAATTTTTAGTTTAGTATTTCTTTTAATTTCTTTTGACCTCCACAAATTCCCTAGTGCTATGAAAGCCCCTCTTGCCTTTTGTATTCTTATTTTAATATCTCTATCAGTTCCTCCATCTTTATCTACATTACTGCCTAAATAGGTGTACGACTCCACGTCTTGGAGTGGGGTGCCATTAAGAGAAACCACATTACTATTTGCCTGATTTATTCTCATTATCTTTGTCTTTCCTTTATGGATTTTCAGACCAAGCTGCTTTGATCTCGCATTAAGTATATTTATTTTATCTTGAATCTGATTCTGTGAATGGGACAGAAGAGCAATATCATCAGCGAAGTCCAGATCATCAAGCTGTTTTGTAGGGGTCCACTGAATTCCATTCTTGGTGTTAGCAGTTACTGTTTTCATAGTCCAGTCTATAGCCAGTAAAAATAAGAGAGGCGACAAAAGACATCCCTGTCGCACACCTGTTTTTATTTCAAATGCATCTGTTAGCTTTCCCTCATGAAGAACTCGACATTTCATGTCTTTATATGTTGCCTTTACTAAGTTGATCATTTTCTGTGGGATTCCATAGTGCCCCATCAATTTCCAGAGAGATTCCCTATCAATGCTGTCAAATGCTTTTTCATAGTCTATAAATCCAATGTAAAGTGGTGAGTTCAGTTCAATGCTTTGCTCTATTATAATACGTAATGTGGCTATCTGATCAGTACAGGATCTGTTTGACCGAAAACCTGCCTGCTCATCTCTTAGCATTTTATCAATAGCATCTTTTAATCTTTCCAAAATAATTCTACTTAAGTGATCTGTGTAATAAAGTTTTTAAAAAAATAATAGTTATCCTCTTCTCATAATATTCTGAAAGGAGATGTAACGTCTTCTTCTGGTGTGTGTGACTGGTTCTTTGCATGAGACATCTTCAGTTTGCATTTCTCTGTCCATTTGACTATATTTAATAATGCATTAACATACTTTAAGAGAGCAAAGGGCCATCCAGTCTTGTCAGAAGTAAAGAGAATCTAGCCACAGATGACTACCACTTACACAGCCCGCATGGAATGGTCATCATTCTGCGCCCCAGGACAGGGTATAACAGACTTAACAAGCTTATGCACAGGCTTCATCGTAGGTCATCAGTGTGCCCTTGTAGGCTGTGTGGAAACTGCAGAACATTTCCTGCTAGACTCTCCCTTGTACAGCCCATTCACAAGGGGATCCTAAGTGTCAGATTCTATATTAATGGCACTTGGGCGGCTGCTGGACACCATCGGACTACATGGCAAATGTCTGTTTAAAAAGGCAGTGAACTGCGAGGCTTCTAGAAAAAGTGTAGCGCAGGCGGGCTAGAAAGGCCCGTATAACAGGCCTTGTGCCTACAGATACCATTTCCTGAAACATCTATAGTGCTCTTAAATATTGCTGGCATACTCACTCTCTTATCAGACACTGAAACATCTTTATTGCTCTGCAGGTCCAAGTCTCCCAAGAACACGAAGGGAAAAACACACAGGACATCAAGAGGCAAGCGGAAGCATAGATCAGCCAGTGATGACTCCCATTCCTCCAGGTGAGTCGGCAAAAGGTCTGCTAGTCTCTGAGCTGGTTGTGCAAGGTTCTTTCATCAAGCTCATGATTATCAGGGCGGTCCTACTGCTGTGATGGTGTAGTCTTATGGTTTGAACAGACCCGCTGCCTTTCCGGCGTGCATGTGGTAGAAGTCAACTGACAGCGGACTTCATTCGTTGTCAGAGTGCATCTGCCAAGCTGCAAGAAAAACCAACTGCACACAAATAAGCCAGTAAAACAGATGTACACGCAAAAGTCAGGCCTTGGCACCAAGCCAAATAGACAATTGGCCAGGACTTTCTGCCAGAGCTTATAGTTAGTCAACAAAGAAGAACTTGTACTAGAGATGTCTGTTATGTAGGCTTTCAGGAAACTCATCTCTGTGCATTCATTTTGTACACTGCAGTTTGATCATGAATGTGTTGACTGGTGGTTTTATAATGGACAGGCCTGTAACAGTGATTTCACAGGCCTGTAACAGTGATTTCACAGGTCTGTAACCAACTGAAAAGACTTGCTTTAGCAATGCAGAGTCACAACAGCATGAAGAACTGATGACAGCTCACCTGTAAGTGTGTTAGGCAGTGTCTGGTGATCGTGGTGATCACAGGTTGAGGGTTCTGCACTCTTACACTCAGTCTTTGAAGACACAAAATCAGAGTTTTTGAACTGAAATGCTACAGAACAATTCTTAGAATACTGAACAAAAAAAAGACACAAACCAGGTAACCTGGTGAAACAGACAGTTTTTGGTTTTAGTCGGTTTTTTTATTTTCAGTTCGAAGGAATAATTTTGTGCTTAATTGTAATCAGCTGTTACTGTCGTATGCACCCGGTGAGGTACAGCGTGCGAAATGTGCAATCTATTGTTTGTGTCTTCTTTGTTCAAATTAACAATGGGGAAGCTTTGCTTTGATCTTCGAATACTGATGATCAAGAAGGACAAAAAATGCTGACATCCTACAAGGTCTGAACATCAAGGAAAATTGGCCCATAAACGGGATCCTGTTCCAAAAGCTGAGTTATTTTGGCCATGCAGGATAGTGGCCTGGAGGGAATGATGATAGAGGGTACAGTTTCCAGACAGTTTGGTTAGGCCGACTGTAAAGGTTGATACCAAACAGTGAAGATGCATTAGCTATGAAAGCATATAAGGCTGGAGAATTGGCTAGAGAAGGAGATACTTTCAGGCTGGCCGTGGAGAAAGCAGCATTCTGTAATGGACATGGTGGTGATGGTGACCACTTGTCCCAGGTCACTGGGAGATCTGGTCTTTGTCCACTGTACCCTGATGGGATGTGACTGGTCTATAAATTGGTGACAGTGATTGGTCTCATCTTTAACCTACTTACCATGTTACACATTTCATCGACAGGTCACGTTCCAAATCCTCTGGCTCGTCCAGGAGCAGCCGATCGTACAGCAGTTCTTCTGGCAGCTCCAGGTAAAACTGCTTGACTCTGTGTGTAGATTGGAAACATGCAGTGCTTCAGTGAAATTTGTGTTAATTTAGCTCTGCAGGTTGCAGTTAAATTTACAGTCTAACTTCTGCCTTTCTAACCCCTAGTGGTGCAAAGGCCCATAACCAACACCAAGTCATCCTATCCTTTGCTATAGCATGCTGCTCTCCCCATGTCCTCTCCGTCTTTTTAATTTCATTCTCCAGCTTCCTTCTCCATATGTTTATAGGCCTTCCTTTATTCATATACCCCTCTGGGTTCCAGTGCAAAGACATTCTAATTATATTGTTCTCCAGTTTTCTCAGTGTGTGTCCCATCCAATGCTAGCATCTTTTCTTCACCTGTTGGTCCACTGGAGCTTGCTTAGTTCTCTCCCAAAGCTCTACCTTAGTGGGTTTCAATGAATGTTGTTCTCTCCGTGAGTTATTGGGGCACTCTGATACATTCATTGTAGAGGTAAAGAGCAGCTAACCTTTAAAAAAATGTGTGTGTTGCCATCTGTCAACTTTATGGTGTCGGTACAGATTTGTGTATTGTCTGTATCTGTGCCACTGGACCCGTCAGGGAGAGTAGCCTGTTTACCCAGGAGCACCAGTTAATGTGATACCTTTTTGTTAGCATTTATCGGCTGTAAACTCTGGTTGTTCATCCACTCCTGGACTTTGGTCTTGATCCAGTACTTGAGTTTTGCATGTACATCGGTTTTGCAGATCTGGCTTACATGAATGCCGACTGTTGGTTCCTTGCCTCTCAGGCAGATGCACTTTGTCTTTGAAGAAAACAACTCTTAGTTAGTCACCTTCTGCAGCATGCCTGGGGGGGGGGGGGGTGTCTGTTCTTTGTTTTTTTAAGTGGAGCCGCGGAACCCACACATAGAATGTAAGAACTTTAGTGGTTAGCTGCTTGCCTGCTTATGGATGCTGTTGGGTTCAGATTCGTTTAGGGAAGTTGGGTACAGATTTGTTTAGGGAAGTTGGGTACAGATTTGTTTAGGGAAGTTGGGTACAGATTCGTTTAGGGAAGTTGGGTACAGATTCGTTTAGGGAAGTTGGGTACAGATTCGTTTAGGGAAGTTGGGTACAGATTTGTTTAGGGAAGTTGGGTACAGATTCGTTTAGGGAAGTTGGGTACAGATTCGTTTAGGGAAGTTGGGTACAGATTCGTTTAGGGAAGTTGGGTACAGATTTGTTTAGGGAAGTTGGGTACAGATTTGTTTAGGGAAGTTGGGTACAGATTCGTTTAGGGAAGTTGGGTACAGATTCGTTTAGGGAAGTTGGGTACAGATTTGTTTAGGGAAGTTGGGTACAGATTCGTTTAGGGAAGTTGGGTACAGATTCGTTTAGGGAAGTTGGGTACAGATTCGTTTAGGGAAGTTGGAACATTGCGGGTAGAAAGGCTTCCGTTATCACAATCACAAACAGTAAGTGAACACTGCGGCTAGAAAGGCTACATCAGCATACGACATGAGTAGGCAATGTTACATTTACAAACATTTCAGACTTAGCTGAGGCCTGTCCATGAAAAATACACACGTCTATACCAGTTAAAGCTCTGAGACGTGTGATTACAGGAAATTATTAAACGGAAAAAGATATGAGAGTCGACTGACTAGCAGGAAGAGGGCAAATAAATAATTATTTTATGTGTAATTCATTGTACACCTGAAACTATTCAAGCACACTAGGACTTTATTTACATTCTTTACTTACTCTATATGCAGAGTCTGGAAACGGAACATTTCCAAGGTGGTTGTGTCTGTGATCACAAAGACAGGGTATTCTTCACCGTGATTTTTTAATCATGATTTTTCCTTGTTTGAATTCAGCTGTTAATTTAATTGTGAAAATTCAGCCATTTTTTCTGGGCTATTTGTTGTCCCCCTTTTTTTTACAATATTTGTTAAGTTGCCATCTGAACTTAATAGCTCACCCACATATTTAAGACAGCCCTTAGTAAATAGCAAATAATGTTTACCAGATTTACTCAAATAAACAGTTAATTTGTTACTTGAGATATTGTTGCCGTATATGTTATGGGAGCTCATTTTTATAGAAAACAGTACTAGACACACCCCCCCCCCCCCCCTCCCGAATGTCTGTCGTAAAAATTGGCAGTTTGTTGAAATCTGATGCATAGGGCCGAAATGCACAGGTACTGCAGTCCGGCTGTAAACCATAACCATAACGTACCAACCCCGCTTTTTAGGATGAACTCGAGAAAAGGACCATAATAGTAATAGACAGTCATTTCAGACAGTAGTGGATTTGGGTGCGAATATATATACAGGGTTTGTAGTGGACCGGGAAATCGGGAAATTACCGGGATTTTTTTCGTTGACCTTAAACCGGGATTTTTAGCTTATAAAAGACAATCTGACCTTGAAAAGCCGTGAATTTTGACGGCGGCAATGAAATCGTCAGAAATCCTGTGTTTTTCAAGCACAGGCAATTTTGGGGGAGCCATTTGGCTTTTTTGGCCATTTGGCTAGTTTTTGGCTACTTTCGTTGTATGGTTGTTTCAGGTGTGAGGGCAGCTGATTATTGGCTATTTTCAGCCGAAATGGCTTGTTAAAGGCCAGGGGAGGGCTGGCTTTGTTACAGATCATGAATACATGCGGACAGCAGCAGTGTGGCATGGGGCGGGAAGGAGCAGCTTCCGTCTCGCGTGTGTGTGTGTGCCTTTGTTTCTAGCAAGTCGGGCAGAATGAACAGTTTAAATCGCTTATGGCCGTGGTTTCTAGAAAGGATTACATTGGGAGATGGTGGGGCTCGGTTCAGTTGTATTTATAAATAGAGTCGCCGTGGTGGGGCTAAGCACCGCCTTCTCTATTAATTAGAGATGGCTTTGGGGCTAAGAAAAGTGACTGCAGCTGGATTTCCCAGTTCTATTTTTGGCCTGAATTTATCTTTACAGTGTGTTTGGCGATCAGTATTGTAATTCCCCGAGATTCCCTCTTCTGTTGTCTCACCCCTCTCTCTCTCTCTTCCCTCCCTCTTTCACTCTTCTACCTATTGCTCCTTCCTTCCCGTCTCCTGCATTGTCTCTAACTCTCCCTTCTGATCTTCATCTTCTTCTCTTTCTCTCTATCTTTCCTTTTACTCTCTCATTTCCTGTCCCCCCTCCCCCTTTTTCCTATTTTATTTCTTGTTTAAATGTTTAGTAAATGTGCGGCTCCATAACTCTTCCTAGCAACTCAAGTACACAGGAAGTTGTATTGGGGGGGGGGGGGCATTCTGTGTGAACATGGTGGATATTTTCTTTTGATGTGTTTGTTTTCCTAGCGGCCTTAATCTCTGTCCATCTCCCTTCCCGCCCCCTCACATTTTGTCCTACCTGTTCCTCACTCTCTGCCTGTCTGTGTCACTGCTTTCTTCTTTCTCTTTGTATTTGCCACTCTCCCTCACTCCCCCTCTCTCTCTCTCTCTCTCTCTCTCTCTCTCTCTCTCTCTCTTTCTTTCTCCATACCTTCAGTTGGTGTAGAAGGTTATGTGTTGCCTAGTGCAGAACATTTCATGTCCACCATTCCCCCTCCCACACATTAAATATATGTGTACTTTTAAAAACACATTTGCCGTCACCCCCCCCCCCTCTTTTTTCTCCTCCCACATTGATGACACCTAGGGGAGGGAGTGCACCCCTTCCTGCTACCTTCTTCCCTCTATATCTCATCCTATTTCTTACTCCCTTCTTTCTCTCCCTGTCTCATTCCCACTTTATTTTCTTAAACTTTATTCTCTCACCTCCTCTGTCTCACCCTTACCACCTCAGCCTTCTACACCACTTTCCACCACCTCCTCTCTCCCCTCCTTTCTGTAATTGGAAAACCAGAAATAAAAACGAAGTCCACTGCTGCCCTGACCTATTTATGTGTCTGACCTATTTATGTGTGTGGGTAAACTTCTCTATTTTCCACCAGTGGTGGGTTGGGATCCCCTGGACTTTTATTTTTCTTCATAAAATGACCTTGGCTCTCAGGTCACCAGCCTTAAGTGTAAGAAATTGAATTATTGTTGTCACACACAGATAGGACAAGCAAGGGGCAGTAGGGGTTAGCACTGTTGTTTTTTGGACCACGGCCACATTCACATTGGGAGAGGGTAGGAACCGGAAAAGTGGCCTCACTTAGAGATTTCCTAATTCTATTTTTGGCACTCATTGTTCTTACACCCCCCCCCCCCCCCCCCCACAAACCGTGTCTTACCTTTCTTCTCTCACCCCTTCTCTTTCCTTTGATCTTCTACTATTCTCCTTTCTCTCTCCATTCTTCCTCTCTTTCTTTCCTTGCCCTCTCTCCTGTCCCATCTCTTCTTTGTCTCCTCTCCATCCTGTCTTTTCATTTTCTCTAGATTTCCTTACCCGCTCCCCTCTCTCATTCTTCTCTCCCCCCCCATCATTTTTGTTTACTGGTTCATCTACGCATTTTTTTGCCCCATAACTATCTTTTCCTAGTGGTTGTGTCCTCTACACTTGAAATTGTGTGTGTGGGGGGGGGGGGGGGGAGTAGGTGGCTGTTTTTTTTCTTTGATGTATCTTGTCTCCCTTAGTGCCCCTCTCTCTTAATCTGTGTTTGTCACTGCCTTCCTTACCCACCTCTCTCTCTCTCTCTTGCTTTATGTCTGTTTGCCTCCCTTCATCACTTCCTCTTTGTATACCTCCCTCCCATTCTCCTGCTCTGCCTTTTTTCTCTTTCTTTGGTTCTCTTCCTCTGTCTGCTTGCCTCTCTGTGCTGTCCCTTTGTCTCTCTCTCTCTCCTTTATGTCTACATCTCTCTCTGCTTGCATCTGCTTCTCGCCCTGTCCGTTCTCTCTCCCTCTGTCTCCCTTCTTTCAACTCTTTGTCATAATTTCCTTCTTCCATATCTCTATTTCGTTCCCTTTTTCCTTCTCTTTTCATCTGCCCATCTCTGTATCTGCATTCCCTTTTTCTGTATTTTTTTCCCTCCCTGTCTTTCGCTGTTCCTTCCCCACTTTTCCTCATCATGTCTCCATCCCTCCCTCTCATTTTTTCCTCCTTCCCCAGACTTCTTTTCCTTCTTTTCTCTACCTTCATCTGTCCATCTTTACACTGTCTCTCCCAGCCTACCTCAGCATGTCTTCCTCTCTCTTCATGACTCTCTCTCTCTCCCCTAACCCTCTCAGGTACCAGGTCCAGAACAGACAGGACTTCAGTTTGCTGCCCTCTACCACCAAGCCCTAAAAAAAATTTCAAACACTATATCAAGCTCAGGGGCCGACCAGCACGAAGATGGGCACAGGATATAAGTGACTCCTTGAGTATAAAAAAGTACATGAGGCGGGAGAGCTGGTGAGAGACCGAGGTTTTTTTGTCAGGACAAAGGAAATGCTACATGATGATGATATCTGTGCTGGTATACCAACACATGTGGCACAAATGAAGTACCTTGTGTGCTCAGTACACCCTTGAACAAGGCAAAAATCTTGTTTCAGTATTACACCGAGACAACCTTGAAAAAAACTGAGGAGACCTTAAAAAAGACCTTGAAAAGCCTTGAAATTGATTGGTAAATTTGGCTATGAACCCTGTATATATAATCATAGGTTTTGGGTGCGAATATAGAGTTGTTTCAGACAGTGGATTTTGGGTGCGAATATAGAGTTGTTTCAGACAGTGGATTTTGGGTGCGAATATAGAGTTGTTTCAGACAGTGGATTTTGGGTGCGAATATAGTTATTTCAGACAGTCATGGATTTTTGGTGCAGATATAGACAGTAGTGGATTTTGGGAGCAAATTTGGACAGTCGTGGATTTTTGGTGTGGATATACTAGTGTACAAAGTATTGTTTATGTCCTGGGTTATACTCATTGAAGATGATAAAACATGATATTTGTGATAATGATGATACTTGTCTTATTCTATAAGAGGGGTGTTAGCTGTCACAAAACTACAAGTTGGAATAAGCTGCTAAAAGTAAACTGTTATGCTTTCAGTCGTTCCAGATCTGCAGGACCTGCTGCGCCCGGCTTGGATAGACGTGGCTATCCCTCCCCATCTCGGTAAGTTAAAGTTCCAATCTACGGGTAGTTGTGTGTTCTTGATACCAACAGTGAGCCTTCAGTACCTGAGCCAGTGGTTTGTGTGCATGTACAATGATGTATTCATAATGTTAAGAAGTTGGTTGCTTAAAGATGTTTCTTTCCTTTTCCCGGCCAATGCGGTTCTGAGCCGCTAATTAGTACCTGTTAGCTACCAGTTAGTTTTCTGATTTCTTCATGTATTTTTTGTGTGGGGAAACTTGGCTTCTTTTGCATTCACTCTTCTGAAAGAACAGTTGGCATATTGTGTTGTTGGCAGCTAGATTGGGATATGTGCACCTTCCGGCACAACATGTCCGGTTTTAGCAAATCCTTAGTCAACTTTACGACATGCTTTTTTGGGTGTGGGGTGTATTGTTTCTTTTATTTTCCTTGTAAAAATAAAGCCAAGCGCATTTTTAGAGTCTAACTTATAGTTATGTCTGGTGCTTTACTTTTATTAGCCGTCCAATCATTATGAGCCTCATCCACACAGTCATTGTGAGCCTCATCCACACAGTCATTGCGAGCCTTATCCACACAATCATTGTGAGCCTCATCCACACAGTCATTGTGAGCCTCATCCACAGTCATTGTGAGCCTCATCCACACAACCATTGTGAGCCTCATCCATACAACCATTGTGAGCCTCATCCACACAGTCATTGTGAGCCTCATCCACACAGTAATTTGAGCCTCATCCACACAGTCATTGTGAGCCTCATCCATACAACCATTGTGAGCCTCATCTAGACAACCATTGTGAGCCTCATCCACACAGTCATTGTGAGCCTCATCCACACAGTCATTTGAGCTTCATCCACACAGTAATTGTGAGCCTCATTCACACAGTCATTGTGAGCCTTATCCACACAGTCATTGTGAGCCTCATCCACACAACCATTGTGAGCTTCATCCACACAGTCATTGTGAGCCTCATCCACACAGTCATTGTGAGCCTCATCCACACAACCATTGTGAGCCTCATCCACACAACCATTGTGAGCCTCATCCACACAACCATTGTGAGCCTCATCCACACAGTCATTGTGAGCCTCATCCACACAGTCATTGTGAGCCTCATCCACACAGTCATTGTGAGCCTCATCTAGACAACCATTGTGCGCTTCATCCACACAGTTATTGTTAGTTACTTGTTCAAAGTATCTGCAACAATTGTCTCAGTACTTTCATTCCCACTGTAAGAGGGTCCACTTTGAGACTTACTGCCATTCACATATTCCAGGGATCAGTCGAGTATTGGCATGTCTGCTAGAGGGGCTTATCCTGGGTACTACCAGAACAACAGAGGTCAGGGCCGCTACCAGCGGGGAGGTTACCATGTCAGCAACGGCAGCGGTGGTTACTACGGCAACAGCTATGGTGGTGGAGGTGCAGGGCCAGCTGGTGGCTACACTGAGCGGAACATGCGAGACAGAAGTCCAGGCAGGCCTTGGAAGTCGAGGGGTCGCTCACCTCCAGATCGCCCCTTGCCTTATGTCAGGTGAGTTTGCTTGTGTGGTCATTTCTAACAGGGAATTCAGTTTTGAGGTTTGCATTTAGTTCTTGCTGTATATGGATACGTTTCTGCTATCGAATGTGAAGTTTTCTCTTGATGTGTAAAGAGTATTTTGTCTGATTGTGAATCTGCCCGTGACTTTTGTGGCTAGTACACGTGGGTCTAGATCCCGTCAGTAAGAGAGATCCCTTTGGCAGAATGTTCTATACTTACCGTGTAGGTTATTAGCTGAGTACCCTGCGGAAGATGGAGTAGAGGACTCACGAACCAACATACCAAGCTCATTCTGTATGTCAGCATTTAATGTGTACTTTTCTAACCCAAGCTGTAGTCGGGGATCTTAGTAGCTGAAAATGAAACAAAGTTAAACAGTCGTCATCTACTTGCTTCTCCTCTGCCAACATCTGAACAAGATGTCAAAACACTAAATCTATATGAGTATATCTGCATGAATCAAGCATTGCTTGTGCCCAGCTCAACCTTGCAACCGTGAAAAGTTTTTTTTAAACAAAAAAATTCCAAATGCTACAAGAAGAGACAGAATCAGAAATGGTGATATAAGGAAACAAGTTGAACAGAACCTACTAAACTACACCAGAACAGATGGTTTGTACATGTCACGACTATCGCAGGATAAGGCACCACTAAAAGCCCCGTCACTTGGACACGATAGAAGCAGAGCTACAGGCCACACAAGTAACAGATGGATGGAATATTTGAGGCTCTGAATACCCGGCATCATGTAAAATCTGTTTTATTTTGCAGTTTCTGTCAACTGTAATTCTTTTCTAGTTTTTAAAATATTTTTTTAATTTTTATTTTTTAACGGCAGACCCAGGCCCAAAAGTGGCAGCAGTAACTCAGATTCCAGTAGATCTCGATCAAGGAGTCGAAATAGAATATCATCATCTCGCTCCAGATCTAGTTCAAGAAGTTCTCGGTCAAGTAGTTCATCTAGCTCTTCTGCAAGAAGTGCTGATTCGGATCACTTGTACCGGGATTTGGGTAACCCATCCAAAAATGTCAAGTCTCCAGCATCGAGGAAAAAGAGTCGAGGTAAGCAGTCATTTGTTGCAAGGTACATTTTTTCCCCCTGAAGATTTGCAAAATATACTGTTTGTTTGGACAGATATAACATGACCTCTCTGAATTAGGTGTCCGTGTCTCTGACAATGTAGTTCATTGATGCTGTGTCATTATGTCTGGCCACAACCTTCTGTCTTGAGTATTGTCATTTCTGCCTCATGTTTTTCCGTGCTATAATTTGAAATTGTCAAACCGTTTCTTTTTTCTTTTTCTCCGTCTCTCTTTTTTTTTTCTCAAATCTTCCCTTTTGTCATGACATGATCGTAACCTTAAAGATGTTCTAGTCAAGAGTCCTACTTAGGTACTGTCTCTTGTCATAGACTTGTATGTCAGATTTGTCTGTGTGGTTAAGGCAGATAATCTGGCATTCCCTAATTCCCATTGGCACATAATAGAGGTATTCAACTGCACAAGCTACAGTAGAATTTACTCCATCTGTAACAGGGAGACGTCATCAATTATTTGTCAGAAGTTAGGATATTGCGCATAATTAGAATAATCAAGTCTTGGCAACCTTGACATTTCTTTCTAGAACCATCATTTGTTTATTAGCAGAGATATTTTGCAAATGAATAATCTATAAATAGTAAATGAGGTAATGCTTTTAAACATGCCCTAACAAGGAGAACGCAGTAGTACCTTTTCTAGAAGTCCACATAATGCCAGTGGCTAAATAAAAGAGAATATTTAGGTGCATAACTATCTGATGCAGTTGAGAGGCAATTAGGAAATACTACGATGAAAACGCACATAGTAAACAAGTTTTAGCGTACAAGAATATTATAGAAGCAGTTAATGTGTAGAAAACACATTCCACGCATTCCAGCATCTCAGTATAAATAGTGGGTAAGAAACCACTTCAGTAACCTTCAGTCTACGAGATTTAAAAGACGAGGGACTAATAACTTGGACCCTTAAAAAAACTTTCAGTCGTTGAGACTCAGATGATGAGGACTAGTCTCATGGACCCTTGTAGTCAAGAGCCTTTAGTTGTGGAGATGTTGTTGTGGAGCGTCGAAGACAGACAATAGAGAGGAGACAATTGAAGGCAGAAAGTCTGTGCCAGGAGGTGAGAGGAAGACCAATGAAGGTGTGGATAGATGGGGTAACTAAAACCTGCAAAAAACCCAATTAAAACCACTTGAGAAGTACAAGAAAAGTACAGAAATCCACAACACTGGGCTACATAACAGTGGGTAACAGTGTGAGATAAGAGACAGAAAGAAGAATGATTCACTGGGCTTAGCTTGTCTGATATATTAACATGGATAAATTATGGATAATTGTTTAACTGGAATATGTTATGTGTGGGTTATCTTGTTGCAGTTAACAACGGACCACCTCTGCCAACACCACCTTCATCAGTGCCAGCATTCAGACTTGACCAGATCCCACACCCGCAAGATCCAAAACCTCCTCCACCCCTGCCAGCATCAGGAAAAGCTGAACCCAAATATGCTAGTCGCAATGCACCGCCGCCACCTGTCAAAGCCAAAGATCCACTGAAAGTTGTAGGCCAGAAGTCCAACATTAAACTGACACTTTTACCGAAGGTAAGTCTCGTGTGCAGATATGCATGTTTGATGTAGACTTCAAAGTGGGGTCACTTCAGGGGTTACCTTGCCGTCTCAATCCTTTTACTTCAGGGGTTACCTTGCCGTCTCAATCCTTTTACTTCAGGGGTTACCTTGCCGTCTCAATCCTTTTACTTCAGGGGTTACCTTGCCGTCTCAATCCTTTTACTTCAGGGGTTACCTTGCCGTCTCAATCCTTTTACTTCAGGGGTTACCTTGCAGTCTCAATCCTTTTACTTCAGGGGTTACCTTGCCGTCTCAATCCTTTTACTTCAGGGGTTACCTTGCCGTCTCAATCCTTTTACTTCAGGGGTTACCTTGCAGTCTCAATCCTTTTACTTCAGGGGTTACCTTGCTGTCTCAATCCTTTTACTTCAGGGGTTACCTTGCCGTCTCAATCCTTTTACTTCAGGGGTTACCTTGCCGTCTCAATCCTTTTACTTCAGGGGTTACCTTGCAGTCTCAATCCTTTTACTTCAGGGGTTACCTTGCAGTCTCAATCCTTTTACTTCAGGGGTTACCTTGCAGTCTCAATCCTTTTACTTCAGGAAGCCACAGAACCAGCACTTTTTTTGGCTTCCATTTCCCCCTAAGAGCCGCTTTGCAGGCTCACTGTAGAGGCATGTCTAGCTAACAGAATTTATTGCATTTGTCCAAACGATCCACGTGACAGGAAATGACTACATTTACTTTAAAAAATGGCACATGTGTGAGTTGAAATTCCTACATCATAATTTTTCTGTTGATTACAGTGGCTTCCTAGTGACTTTGTCGCAGTGTGGAGTAGGTTCCTCAGAATAATTGGTTTACGGGCCACAAGAGCTAGCGAATCCTATGCTGCGTTTGTTTTGATTACTCCCCTCACTCTATATAGTATTTGTTCATGTTTTTGAAATTAGTGCAATTTTTGTTCATGTTTAAAACAGCTATCTCTCTAAGGATTTTTATATCTGGAGTTTCTGAAGAATTTAAAAAATTATGTCTTGACTTTACTTTTTCTCGGTCGACAGGGTTAAAAGTTAGTTGCCTGCTCTGTTTGTAACCTCACAAACCAACACCCAGCATTTATTGTGGCTTATGTGGGGTTTTATATGGCAATTTTATAATGATAAAATCATCATCTCTCTAGTAGATGCACTCCGACTTTAAAGGAAACTCCCGTAATTAGTTGCAGTGTGTGACAGTCTTGTGGGGGGGTCTGTTCTTTTTGTTTTGTTTTTTAACCCTAAAATAAGGCCCCAGAATCCACTTGTGGGTTATATTTTTCAACACTGTTTTCATTCAAACAGGTTATAAAATTGTACTTGAAACTCAAAAATGAATCTGTGTACTTATTTTTATTGTACATAATAAGAAAAATACATGTGAACTCTATTACATCAGTTTCACAAGTGTTTTGACCCTAGTAGTAAATTGTTTAATTTTTTCTTAACTATTTTTTAAAAGTGAATTTGTTGTGGTTGTAAGTAGAAATGGTCATAATTCGCATAGGTCTCACGGAGAAGGTGTACATGTCCGTCTTGATTTCCCTCTGAGTGTTGAGTTTTGCCGACTACCCGCAGTAACTTTATCTCTAGAAGATGATAATCTAGTCACTTTCTGCATTGTTCATTGATATCAGTGATGTATTGGTATTGCCTTAGTTTGAAGTTAGTAAGGCAGACAGGCCGAGAGAGGGATCATGCTGCATGGGCAACACAGGGTCTTTGTAAGACTGTCCAGGTTTTCTGCTGTGGGGAGGAGGAACCATCTCTGCCCTAATTGTTGATATTGTCCTTGGCTATGATTCTCTTATCTCCCTATGACACATATGAACTTTAATGTCTACTTAACAAACAAAAAAAGAAAGAAAGAAAGGTGTCGACACTAATTTCAGTGACCAATCATGTGTTTATTATACTCTTTGTTATCACATCTTACTATGATCAGAAACTTTTCCCGAGAACATAATGATGTCCATTTCTGTTTCAACAGTCATCACTAGGCAATCGGCCGAATCCTTTGGACTCCCCTCCCCGCAAACGGCCACTAGAAGACAGTGACATCTCATCGCCAGAATCTTCACCACCTGCTAAACAGCCCCACCTGGCAATGGAAGCTTCTGTGTTGAGACTAGCGTCAGGCAAGTATTGCATTGACTTGTACTTTCTGCTTGTTGTCATCGCTGTTTGATTGTGTCTTTGTAAATCTTTGCCCTGGATTGCAAGTGCATTACGCTTAATCATACCCAAGTTAGACAAATTGAGGTTACCCACGTTCACTGTTTTTAGACGGTGGCCGTTGCATTTTTCTCCATTTTTAGTCTGAAATGATGGTTTTTTTTTCCAGCTACTCAGTTGAGTGCATGGTGTGACTGTGTTATGCAGATTTTTGGGGAATGTTTTTCTACTGTGACCAACGCAGTGTTGTGAACTGTAAATTTCAAAAATTGTGAGTGGTCTTATGCTGCAAAACTGGTGGTGCCTTATGTGATTAAAATTAATTGCATGTGCAACTGCTGATCTGTTTGTAACTGCTGCTTCCGTTGATGATACACTGCATTTCTAATGTTGGACTGTTTGTGTTAACACTTATGATGGTTGCCTTATGATTTAAATGCATGTGGATATGCTGAGACTGCAGTCTTTGTCAATGTTTCCACAAATGACAGCGATGGACATTCTGTGAGTTTTTTGTTGGCACAGGAGCGGAGCAACTATGAGGTGACCCATTTGCTATGAAGCTGAAACTAAGATTACTAAGATACCCCAGTTTTAATACTGTTAACTCATAGGACAAGCTTGTACTAATTCTCTGTGATTAACTCATTGGCGTGACAGTTTCAAATCAACGCATGATACTTTCCTCGGTAGCCAGAGAATTGAGGCACTTCTGTTTTCTGTTAAATATATTCTTTTTCTTAATTGCCAGAGATTGATTTCTGGAAGGAAAACAACTGGAGAAAGTCATCACGCCTAATATTGTTGTGCCCTAATATTTCTATGACACTCCTGTAGCTACAGTATCAAACATAACTTGTTAACTTGAAAGTTTTTTTTTTTTTTTTTTTTTACAGAAAAGGCAGCAAAACTTGAGCCAAAACCCACCTTGAAACCCTTGCCGGTCTCTATACCTCGGCCAGCATCATCATCTACATCTTCATTACCCACCGGGCCCCAAGTGAAAGCCGCCACGCTACCTCAGAGACAGCCGGGTGGCAGTGTCAAACCACGCGGCATGGAACCAGCTGTGACAAAGACTGTACCAAAAGCCCTTGTGGCAAACACCCCAACGACAACCACCCCAGCGCCAGTGGTGGCCAAACCCAAGAAAACCGCAGTTTCTCGGCGAGAGGAGCTTCTAAAACAGCTCAAGGCGGTGGAGGATGCTATAGCCAAGAAAAAGGGAAAGCTTCCGTGATGACTGTCGTGTCTTAGTTTATGGATTTGTATGTCATTGTCTTTTTGATCTCTGGATCTTGGCTCTGGAGACTTTGTTGCCATCACCCGATGTTGCTCACTTCTGCTCTGGGTTGCTAGAGAGGTGGGGGATCTCCATCTTAATCTGTGGATTGGGAGGCAGCTGTCTCATTAACTGATATATCAGACCAGAGTGGTGGTGATCCTTGATTCGACTATCAGAAGCATGTGTGTGGTTTTTCGTTCTCTCCTTTAGGGTTGCATTCTGCTCGATTCACACCCAGTAACTCAGTGAGACACTGTTCAGATAAGATTTCCTCACACCCAGTAACTCAGTGAGACAGTATTCGGATGAGATTTCATTTGGAGCAACTCCCAGAAGCCCCGATCAACCATATAACATGGTTTGTTATATTGGGCATCTCATGGATTTGTGTGCTGCAGTATGTAACACCGAGCACCGTCTACATTCTGCTGTATGTAACTTAGCACCGCCTAAATCATGCTCTATGTAACACCATCTACATTCTGCTGTATGTAACACAACACTGAGTACCATCTACATCCTGCTCTATGTAACACTGAGTACCATCTACATCCTGCTCTATGTAACACTGAGTACCATCTACACCCTGCTCTATGTAACACTGAGTACCATCTACACCCTGCTCTATGTAACACTGAGTACCATCTACATTCTGCTGTATGTAACACTTGAGTACCATCTACATCCTGCTGTATGTAACACTTCAGTACCATCTACATCCTGCTGTATGTAACACTTCAGTACCATCTACATCCTGCTCTATGTAACACTGAGTACCATCTACATCCTGCTGTATGTAACACTTGAGTACCATCTACATCCTGCTCTATGTAACACTGAGTACCATCTACATCCTGCTGTATGTAACACTTGAGTACCATCTACATCCTGCTCTATGTAACACTGAGTACCATCTACATCCTGCTCTATGTAACACTGAGTACCATCTACATTCTGCTGTATGTAACACTTGGGTACCATCTACATCCTGCTGTATGTAACACTGAGTACCATCTACATTCTGCTGTATGTAACACTTGAGTACCATCTACATCCTGCTGTATGTAACACTGAGTACCATCCACATTCTGCTGTATGTAACACTTGAGTACCATCTACATTCTGCTGTATATAACACTTGAGTACCATCTACATCCTGCTCTATGTAACACTTGAGTACCATCTACATCCTGCTGTATGTAACACTTGAGTACCATCTACATCCTGCTGTATGTAACACTGAGTACCATCTACATCCTGCTCTATGTAACACTGAGTACCATCTACATTCTGCTGTATGTAATACTTGAGTACCATCTACATCCTGCTGTATGTAACACTGAGTACCATCTACATCCTGCTGTCTGTAACACTGAGTACCATCTACATCCTGCTGTCTGTAACACTTGAGTACCATCTACATCCTGCTGTATGTAACACTGAGTACCATCTACATCCTGCTCTATGTAACACTGAGTACCATCTACATTCTGCTGTATGTAACACTGTGTACCATCTACATCCTGCTCTATGTAACACTTGAGAACCATCTATATCCTGCTGTATGTAACACTGAGTACCATCTACATCCTGCTCTATGTAACACTTGAGTACCATCTACATCCTGCTCTATGTAACACTTGAGTACCATCTACATCCTTCTCTATGTAACAATGAGTACCATAAGTAATGGCATTGAAGTTTAAGCCATGTTGATTCCTTGACATCTCTTACAGCCTGTGACAGCTGGTCAGGTTCCATTGGTGTGTGTGTGTGTTCAGGCCCTCGAGCACTGAGGAACATATGTACCTGTCAGAGGAAGATTGGCATAAGCCCATGATCTGTTGCTGAAGTAAACAATTAGTTGCATGTGTTTCACCGAATGAACGCCAACAGTGGACATTATTGTAGAGTGTGCATGTGTTTAAGGGGCTGATGGGAAAAGCAGTTAAAACCAGTTTGAACTTTCCCAGGAAATTCTAGGATTCTCTTTATTTCATTAATTCTGTCGCTCCGCGGAAACTAACTCTGTTAAATTCTGGCAGTATAGGCCATGTCTGGAGTGACCTGTTCTCTAAAATCCTAGTTAAATTCTATTCATCCTGTGTGTGCAGGCACAGTGTTTAATAGGCCAGGATATGATTATAGTAACTGAACATAGCATGTGAGGGTTTCTTTCTGACCCCAATGAGTTTTGTAAAGCCAAGTTGATGTCAAATTTTCCCATTGACCTCACTGATAGAGGTCAGAGGGTCAGAGCATGAATCACCAGATACATATTTTTATGAGGCCACAGGGAATGTATTCTGTTTAATGCTTCACTCTGTTTATGTTCATTGATTACCCCTTTATATATAAATATCTTTATATATTTCGGGAGAAAATGTAATATGTAGGTAAAATAATTTTTCTTTTTAATGTAATAGCGACCTATGTAATACGATTGTTTTAAGGATTTTTCCCTGGGAAATTCTAACAGATGCATTTATATTTTTTTGTTTTAAAAGGACACAAAGCAAAAGGGTTAAGGGTATGTTTATCTGGGTTGTCTTGTGTACATGCGCTAATTTTGTTGTAAATTCCCTGAAACTTTTCAAGGACTTTTGTTTGATCTGATCCACCATTCATTCATTGTAAGGGTAGTAAATCTGAGACTTCAGCTTGCAGTTTAGCCAGGTTTTGCTTGATTGAAAAATTTAAAGATTGTTTGACAAAACTCCATGTGGCAACTATTTCTTTCTGTTTTTCATCTTATTCTTTGATAGAATACCTGGCCAGTTGGTAGCAAGAGTGTATTATATGCCTGTTGTAAATAGTAAAAATTTGTACAAATAGAGTCTGTTTGTAAACTAGAATGTCATTGAGAGTAGATTTTAACCAGTGTGTGTAAATGGTTAACTGACCAGTCATAATTTATCAATTATTTTTGACTGGTTTTGTACAGATGACTGTATGGTTTTGTCTGCGGGTTGTGAGTTGTTAAACTGATCATGAATAAAACGGTTATCTATGTTTGATTGTTAACCAGTTTTTTGATTTGTAAACCATTTGTGTATGTGGTCAAGTATGTTTGCTTGCTGAAATCGGATTGTTGGGCGGAAAAGTGCAGATGTTACAGCCTTGCTGTAAACCACAACAAATAAAATATTTGACTGTCTTGGGAGAGGTTATTCTTCTGCCTGCTATCAAAACTTCTTCTGCCATCTGTCCCCCTTATGGAGCATAGGCCCTCAACCAACTCACCCCCAAGTCATCCTATCCTTTGCTATCGCATGCAGCTCATCCATCTACTTCCCATCTTTTGAGGTTTAGGCAGGTGGTCTTTGAGCCTGACGATTTCAAGCTGCATTGCTAGTGCTGTCGCCATGGACTCTGTAATCCTATTATTTTACTTTAGTGCTAGACAGAGTTGAGTCAAGAATTAACATTGCAGCACTTGGGGCATTCCCATATGTGCTCCATCCTCATCTTCAGCAGCCAGCGCAGAGTTCCAGTACTGATGGTACCGGTCACAATCTAGTTATATGTCCGTCTTGCCTTTCCTCTGAGCATAGTGAGCCGACCAGACCCTCTGGTTACACCCAAGTACCTCATTTTCTCCAGGCCATAATAATCTTGTTTCTCTACTGATTCCATTGCTTGTTCTCAAAGGGCCTTGACCACATCTGTCTTGTCATAGACAACCAGACAGAAAAAAACTATAACCTTGGTCTCCCACATGAGAGGCCAGGACCTGCCCAGCCGCTGCTTGATGTCAGTCACCTGAATGTGATGAGAGGGTTACCTGTAGCACAGAACCTGCCCAGCCTCTGTTTGATGTCAGTCACCTGAATGATGAGAGGGTTACCTGTAGCACAGGACCTGCCCAGTCTCTGCTTGATGTCAGTCACCTGAATGATGAGAGGGTTACCTGTAGCACAGAACCTGCCCAGCCGCTGCTTGATGTCAGTCACCTGAATGTGATGAGAGGGTTACCTGTAGCACAGGACCTGCCCAGCCGCTGCTTGATGTCAGTCACCTGAATGTGATGAGAGGGTTACCTGTAGCACAGAACCTGCCCAGCCTCTGCTTGATGTCAGTCACCTGAATGTGATGAGAGGGTTACCTGTAGCACAGAACCTGCCCAGCCGCTGCTTGATGTCAGTCACCTGAATGATGAGAGGGTTACCTGTAGCACAGAACCTGCCCAGCCTCTGCTTGATGTCAGTCACCTGAATGTGATGAGAGGGTTACCTGTAGCACAGAACCTGCCCAGCCGCTGCTTGATGTCAGTCACCTGAATGTGATGAGAGAGTTACCTGTAGCAGAGAACCTGCCCAGCCGCTGCTTGATGTCAGTCACCTGAATGTGATGAGAGGGTTACCTGTAGCACAGAACCTGCCCAGCCGCTGCTTGATGTCAGTCACCTGAATGTGATGAGAGAGTTACCTGTAGCACAGAACCTGCCCAGCCGCTGCTTGATGTCAGTCACCTGAATGTGATGAGAGGGTTACCTGTAGCACAGAACCTGCCCAGCCGCTGCTTGATGTCAGTCACCTGAATGATGAGAGGGTTACCTGTAGCACAGGACCTGCCCAGCCGCTGCTTGATGTCAGTCACCTGAATGTGATGAGAGGGTTACCTGTAGCACAGAACCTGCCCAGCCGCTGCTTGATGTCAGTCACCTGAATGTGATGAGAGGGTTACCTGTAGCACAGAACCTGCCCAGCTGCTGCTTGATGTCAGTCACCTGAATGTGATGAGGAGTTACCTGTAACATAGCTAATCATGATGCCCCCGCCTCCCCCACCACCACCAGGTGTTCTGGTCTGTACTGAGGGCATCAGATCTCTCAACCCCCCGCAGACTTCAACATTTCAGCTACATGTTGAACTCTTGCGGATGCAACACTTTCAAACTGTCTAGTTCTGCTACCGAATTTTTTTCTCCAGTCAGTTATTCTTACTTTTCTGTTT